TCTGCATCCTGGGAGAGGAGACACAGATTAATTATTTTTAAAATAATAATATGATACAAACTAGTATAATATATATTTATTGTTTTTGTTTATCCATTTTAGAAATTTCTGATTTTTTGCATGAATTTTTAAATGTCCGGAGCCTCTGGTCCTCAAATAGTTAAATGACTCTTACGTCTTGTGTCTCCGGACTTCCTTATTCAGTCCAATCAAAAGCCACTGACAGAATAAGCTGTTTTATATTTGAAGACATGATTCGTTCTTTATGTTTTCATTAATAAACTCAACTCTGCTGCTCAATACGTGTCTAATAGAAAAATTAGATAAATAGTTTATATATGACCAGTACCTTAACAAAAGGGCAGTGTTTAGTTTTTGCCTGTTACTCCTCAGTAAAATGAGAACTGTGAGAATTTACAGATAAGCTCTAATAAACCAAATACCTGAAAGTCAAGAGCAGCAGCAGGAGGCGGAACAGCGAACGGTTTCCCCCAGGCATGATTCAGAAAATCAACCTGCAGCAAAATAAACACAAAACTGAAAGTATTTCAGACTGCTGCTGCAGGAAAGTCATGTGACGTGACGGTCAGGAGCTTTGTCTTTTACAAACCAGCTACAGGCGCTGGTCATAAAAGTAGAATATCATGAAAAAGTTCATTTATTTCTGTAATTCCATTCAAAAAGTTAAACTTGTATATTATGTCCATTCATTACACATATACTGACATATTTCAAATGTTTATTTCTTTTAATGTTGATGATTATAACTGACAACTTATGAAAACCCCAAATTCAGTATCTCAGAAAATTAGAATATTTCTTAAGACCAATAAAAAAAGGATGTTTAGAAATGATGGCCAACTTTAAAGTATGATCATGTTCAGCATCAGTACTCAGTTGTTGCTCCTTTTGTCTGGATCACTGCATCAATGCATCGTGTCATGGAGTGGATCAGTCTGTGGCTCTGCTCAGGTTCTGAGAGTCCAGGTTGTTCTGATCGTGGCCTTCAGCTCTTCTGAATTGTTGGCTCTGGTGTATCACATCTTCCTCTTCACAATAACTCATACATTTTCTATGGGGTTAAGGTCAGGTGAGTTTGTTGACCAATTAAGAACAGGGTCCTTAAACCAGGTACTGGTATCTTCGGCACTGTGTGCAGGTGCCAAGTCCTGTTGGAAAATGAAATCTGCATCTCCATAAAGTTGGTCAGCAGCAGGAAGCAGGAAGTCTCTAAAACTTCCTGGTAGATGCTGCGTTGACCTTGAACCTCAGAAAACACAGTGGACCAACACCAGCAGATGACATGGCCCCAAACCATCACTGACTGTGGAAACTTGACACTGGACCTGAAGCAACGTGGATTCTGTGCCTCTCCTCTCTTCCTCCAGACTCTGGGACCTTGATTTCCAAATGTAGTGCAAAATTTACTTTAATCAGAGAACATCACTTTGGACCACTCAGCAGCAGTCCCAGGAGAGACACTTCTGATGCTGTCTCTTGTTCAAGAGTGGCTTGACACAAGGAATGCAACAGCTGAAATCCATGTCTTGCATACACATGTGCATGGTGGTTCTTGGAAGCACTGACTCCAGCTGCAGTCCACTCTTTGTGAATCTCTCACACATTTTAGAATGGGTTTTGTTTCACCATCCTCTCCAGGGTGCAGTTATCTCTATTGCTTGTACACTTTTTTCTACCACATCTTTTCCTTCCCTTCTCCTCTTTGTTAATGTGCTTGGACACAGAGCTCTATGAACAGCCAGCCTCTTTAGCAATGACCTTTTGTGTCTTGCCCTCCTTGTGCAGGTGTCAATGGTCATCTTTTGGACAACTGTCCAGTCAGCAGTCTTCTACATGATTGTGTAGCTACAGAACCAGACTGAGACCATTTAAAGGCCTTTGCAGGTGTTTTGAGTTAATCAGCTGATCAGAGTGTGGCACCAGGTGTCTTCAATACTGAACCTTTTCACAATATTCTAATTTTCTTTGATACTGATTTTGGGGTTTTCATTAGTGGTTAGTTATAATCATCAACATTAAAATAAACATTTATAAACAATGTATCAGTCAGTGTGTAATGAATGAATATAATATAAAAGTTTCACTTTTTGAATGGAATTACTGAAATAAATCAACTTTTTCACGATATTCTCATTTTATGAGCAGCACCTGTATGATGGACTTCACAAAATAATGGGAGGTTTCTCTGAACAAACTCACTTTTCTGTCTGCAGCAGATAAAGTCGGACTGGTTTGGACCTGGAAACAGCCAGTAAATAACCATCAAAGTGTAAACTCTGTTAACAGGTTAACTCAAACCCAGTTAGGAAACTAATGCAAACTAATCTGAACTTTCTGTTCATGATCTTCCTGCAGACTGACTTCTCTTTCAATCCAAGGTTTTACCGACAGATTAAACTCAGTCTTATCAAAATGTTACATGTTTTTAAATTAAAACTTCCGCGTGCTTTAGTTCCACCTGACTGAATATTTCCAGTTAAGATCATGTGCTGAAGACGTTGGCTCTTTATTTCCATCCAAACCAGTTTGATCACGTTCAAACCGCTTTCTTTCTTCCTGTTTCACTCAACTACACTGTCTGTGTTAGAAAAATATTTTCCTATGAAAAACACAACTTAGTCATAGAAATCCTTGGATGACAAATATTCTGTGAGCTTTTATTTCCAATTTTCAAACACTTCTTTAAAAAAACCCCACAGTCCTGCAGTCTCCTTCACTTTGTAACATGAAATATTTCTACTCAGATCTTCAGAAATCCTCATCCAGCTGATGAGTCAATGTGCTCTCAGAGGTAAACAGATTTAAACCAAAGTGAAACAAATAATTTTCCAATCTAGGACCACCAACAGACCACTTATTATTATTAAAACTATAAGGTTTATCAAGAGGACATTCCCAAACCGCTTGAAAAGACTGTAGCGATTAAAACAAAATGCAAAAACACGGAATCAGAGTTTAGAAAAGATAAAATCCAACAAACTTGCTGTTCTGAGCGCTGCGTCTTCAAACAGCA